AAAAATGTCTCTGAGGATATGAATGAAACCCTGTGCAAAGAGTTTTCTGACATGGAAATATCGGATGCCCTGTTCCAAATTGGGCCGTTGAAGGCTCCGGGTACGGATGGGTTCCTGGCTAGATTCTATCAGAGGAACTGGGGAACAATAAAGGAGGAAGTCATTGCAGGTGTCAAGTTATTTTTTGCTACGGGTAACATGCCAGCTAATATCAATCATACTGCAATTGTCCTCATTCCTAAAGATCAACCATCAATTCTGCGAGAGCTCCGGCCTATTAGCTTGTGCACAGTGCTCTACAAGGTGATTGCAAAATGTTTAGCAAATAGATTAAGGCCCTTCCTAAGTGATATAATCTCAGTAAATCAAAGCGCGTTTGTCCCTGGGAGACTTATCACTGATAATGCACTCGTGGCATTCGAATGCCTTCATTTTATTGAGCATAATACAAATCCGGGGAAGAATTTCTGTGCGTACAAAATTGATCTGTCAAAGGCATATGACCGTGTGGACTGGGGTTTTCTTGAGAATGCGATGAAAGGCTTGGGTTTCTCTCACCGGTGGATCAGCTAGATCATGTCATGTGTGACCACGGTGAGCTATTCTGTAAAATTAAATGGAACCTTGTTGGATTCGTTTACTCCGTCCCGTGGTCTCCGTCAAGGCGACCCCTTGTCGCCATTCCTATTTTTGTTTGTCGCAGATGGCCTTTCAGCTTTGCTTCAAAAGGAGATCAACAACAAACAGATTGAGCCCCTGAGGATATGTCGTCGAGCCCCTGGTATTTCCCACATGTTATTTGCGAACGACACCATGCTATTTTTCAAAGCAGAGACTGAGCAAGCTCGAAGGGTGCAGCAGGTGATTAATACATACACACAAGGTACAGGCCAGCTGGTCAATGTTGATAAATGCTCTTTGATGTTTGGCAAGTCTTGCCCGGCTGAGGTACAAGAGGAAGTAAAAGCTATGCTACAGGTCACACAAGTAGAGTTTGAGCCCAAATATTTGGGTCTCCCTACCCCAGAGGGTCGTATGACTAGAGGAAAATTCCAAAGTACCCAAGAGAAGCTATTGAAGAGAATGGTTTAGTGGGGAGAGTACTCTAGTGGTGGCAAAGAAACCCTTATTAAGGCAGTAGCACAATCCTTGCCAAATTTTCTGATGGGGGTTTTCAAACTTCCTGATGGGTTGTGTGAAGATCTTATGAAAATGATAAGAGAGTTTTGGTGGGGTGTTAGCAAGAATCAGCGATGCACACACTGGATCTTATGGGATTGCATGATCAGACCAAAATACTGTGGGGGAATGGGATTCCGAGACTTACAGCTTTTCAATCAAGCTTTGCTTGCTAAGCAGGCATGGAGGTTAATTGAATACCCCAATAGCCTTTGTGCCCAAGTACTCAAGGCTAAATACTATCCTAATGGGCTGTTGGTAGACACGGTATTCACAGGCAACGCTTCGTCAACCTGGAAAGCCATTGAGTATGGTCTCGAACCGCTCAAGAAAGGGATTATTTGGCGCATTGGCAATGGAGCAAATGTCCGGATATGGAGAGACCCATGGATTCCCCGTGGTCCTTCCTGTCGACTCATCACTCCGAGAGGTCGGTGCCGCCTCAGATGGGTTGCCGAATTGCTACATACTGACGGAACATGGAAATTGGGACTACTACAACAATTTTTTCACCAAGCTGACATGAAGGAAATTGTGAAAATCAAACCGTCGCAGCGGCTCGTCTCAGACTGTGTGGCATGGTTCCCGGACAAACGTGGCTCTTTTTCTGTGAAGAGCGCGTACTCCCTCGCCTTACAGGAGAAAATAAGTGCAAGTGGCCTTGGTGCCTCCAGTGTCCATCCGGATGGCCGACGACCTGCGTGGGATTTAATCTGGAGGAATCCAGCTCCACCTAAGGTACACATCTTTGCATGGAAATTGGCACATGAAGCCCTGGCTACTGAAGCGACCAAAAAATCTAAACACATGCAGAATGAGCAAGCATGCACCATCTGTGGACATGTTACAGAGGACGTCCATCACGCCCTTGTCCGCTGCCCCCATGCTGCTGGACTATGGAACTCCATGAGAGAAATCTGGGACATTCCAAGCGAGGAAGAAATGCATGATACGGAGCCAGAGTGGATCTTTCGTCTACTTGAGAAACTGAACGAGACACAGCGAATGATGGTTTTGATGATTCTCTGGCGAGCGTGGCATGTGAGAAATGAAGTTACACACGAGAAACTGGCGGTTCCAATCGAGGTCTCTCAACGGTTCCTCGCTAGCTATGCCATGTCCCTGTTATCGCTACAACAGCACCCAGACGCAGACCCCATCAAAGGTAAACAGGTGGTCGACTACTTCGGCGAGCCTGTGCGGAAGCAGAACCCCATATGTCATGTGGAACATTGGACACCTCCGGTGGCTGGCTGTGTGAAACTCAATGTCGACGGTTCCTTCCAGCCAACTGACGGCACGGCCGGAGCGGGGATGATCCTACGTGACCACCTGGGGGTTGTAATGCTGGCAGCGATAAGAGGGCTTGGGAATTGTGTGGACGCCCTGGAAGCCGAATTGGCAGCAATCCATGAAGGAATTACTCTGTCTCTTAATTGGACTGAACTAGATATCCTTGTGGAGACAGACAGCGCTGAAGCGGTGCAACTAATTTCGGCAGCCGGAAAAGACCGTTCAGCACACACTCACAAAGTAATGGAGATCAGATCAATACTGTCTCAAAAAAGAAGGATTCAAACTATGAAGATCAAGCGGAATGTTAATGTAGCTAGTCACACTCTCGCTCATATGGGACGTACACAACAGCGTACTACTTGCTGGTTGGGCTCTCCCCGGACGAGATTGCGAGCATTGTTGCTGCTGATTGTAATTACATTTCCTGATGAATGAAATCCTTTTTCCCCAAAAAAAAGAGATTTAAGAGCACTAACCATCTGACATACGTGCAGTGGTAATCAGGTGGCAGTTGGACCTGTAAATGCCGTGCGCTGCACATCACCAGAATGGCACCTAGACTGTACAGAAAATATATCCATCTGTACCACCGGCTATCTAACATCAGCATACAAAATGAATGCACTGCAGAGGTGGGCCTATGAACTGTAGCAATATGACGAGAAAATAAAAATACGAACTGCAATACACTGCAGCACCCAGATCCCAAGACGTGTCAATGCTTGAGATAATGTGATCATATGGATGTATGACCCATATTGAATTTTCGCTACTGCTCATCCTATTTGCAAAATTTTAGGAGAACACATTTGCTTGGGCCTTTGTCCGAGATAATAGGGTGTTCCTTTTGGTCGAGAGTTGGCTTTTGTTTGCAATCCCTTTCTAGTTTTTGTCTTGCTTTATGACTCTCCTTGCTTATCATTTAAACTTAAAAATCTTTTGCCCTTTTTTCCTTTCAAAAATCATGTTCTAATGCGGCTCTACGATAGAGCTTGATACTTTGTTAAAGTCGTGGTTCCTTTTTCAAACAACCAACAAGAGCAATACCTTTTACTGGATTGCCCTTTTCCCTCTGATCATTAATGTACTTTAGGATCACAATATAATTAAAATCAAACATTAACCTCAGATGTCTCATATATTTACTATCATTTAGCCCTTTTTAATGTTTAGCTGCAGTCATTTGATGCTCAATGAGATACTGATTCCATGACATAATAGGCGGACCATAAATAGACATGGATTTCATGAAATTACTCGTGTATTTACGATAATTTAATCATTTTGAATGTATAGCTCCACTCAATCGATGCTTAATGACACAATGATTTCATGACTTAATAGCCTGACCTTAACTAGGCATGTATTTCATGAATTTCCTCATGTATTTACGATAATTTAATCATTTTGAATGTATAACTCCACTCAATCGATGCTCAATGACACAATGATTTCGTGACTTAATAGCGTGACCTTAATTAGGCATGGATTCATGAAATTATTCATGTATTTACAATAATTTAATCATTTTGAATGTATAGCTCCACTCAATCAATGCTCAATGACACAATGATCTCATGACTTAATGGCCTGACCTTAATTAGGCATGGATTTCATGAAATTACTCATGTATTTATGATAATTTGATCATTTTGAATGTATAGCTCCACTTAATCGATGCTCAATGACACAATGATTTCATGACTTAATAGCCTGACCTTAACTAGGCATGGATTTCATGAAATTACTTATGTATTTATAATAATTTAATCATTTTGAAGTATAGCTCCAGCCAATCGATGCGCAATGACACAATAATTTCATGACTTAATAGCCCGGCCTTAATTAGGCATGGATTCATGAAATTACTCATTCTTTTTAGTAGTACTCCCTTCTTTTTGGTATATTGGGCTCATCTCATTTCTAGCACCCATTTATGCTCTCGCTTGCACGGGTGTGCCCTAGCCTGATTTGGATGTTTAGATCATCTATAGTTCCAAGTTTTTACTACAACAAACTTGTACAAAATGTGCCAAAGAAAACGTATAAATGGCAAAATCTTTTTGCTTGATAGTATATACTCCGTGATTTGATCTATATCAGGCAAAATGCCGCATGTGTTTTATATCTAGTGAAAAGAAAGAAGAACATGTCACTCCTATCAAATAAGCTCATGTTTATATCCAATGCTATTTCCCTTCAATTTCGTTAGACAGTATAAGTCTGGACAATGAAAAGATACATCAAGCCATGTTGAAATGTTCTAATTGGTCCGTTGCTTTGGAATGCAAAGCAGGGGAAAACCCTTTTCCGGAAATGTTCTAATCAATTACATTACACAGAGAAATTCTTTTGCTTGAACTGCTTTTGCACTTCTGTACAAATAATACACAAACAGATCTTGCTTTATGTCTCCTTCCTTAATTTGTTCCTAAAACTCCACGTGTCTCGTCAAGCATCCACCGGACAAGCGCATGCACATGCATGCACGCGGCCGGAGTCAAATGGCCGGCAAACTGGCGCGATCATTTGATGAAGCCCATGACGTTAGGCGTGCCGGTGTTCTTGAGCCAGCTCATGCCGTCGATGAACACGCCGGGGGTGAACTGCGTGGCCTCAGCCTGTCCGATGACACGGTACCCCGGCCAGGTCACCCTCTTGCTTGTCCCGGCGCCGGGCCCGGTGTTGGCGTACTCGGCGTAGTAGAGCGTCTTGAGCCCGAGGTCACCCATCCACTCCGACCACCCCTCGGGCTTGATGAGGTCGCCGATGGTGCTCTCCATGATCACCGTCCTCGAGTATTCCTTCCACGGCCGTCCGAGGTAGCTAGGCACCGTATGCCTGACGGGGAACAGCGCGTCCTCCGGCACGATCTTGCACCCCTGGAGCACGATGCCGGTGGGCATGTTGGGGTCCGTGCGCCCGTGCGCGGTCACCATGTTGCCCTGGTTGTCCATGGGCTTCCGCACCGTCATGAGGCAGTTCTGGAACACCGCCGCCGAGTTGCCGAAGATGAAGTCGATGGTGCCCAGCACCTCGCAGTTGCGGAAGAACTGCCGGTTGGCGTGCACGTACAGCGTGTCCTGGTACCCCTCGAACCTGCAGTTGAAGAACACCGACATGTCCCCCTGCACGTGCAGCGCCACCGCCTGGTGCCCGTCCGGCCCCGCCGTGTTCACGAACCCCATCGACTTGCAGATGAACCCGTTCCCCTCCGCCGCTGCAGACAATCCATGGATCAATATGGCAAAGATGACCAAGCTCAGCTGGAATTAGCTACGTAGCTAGTGGTCCGGTCACGGTTTGGGCTTACAGAAGGTGCGGGTGGCAATGGTGGCGAAGCCTCCCTTGTTGCTCTTGTCGCCGATGACCCGGGTTTTGGTAGGCCCGTCGCCGTACATGAAGACGTTGGCCTGGTCCTTGCTGACGGTGACGTACTCCTTGTACTCCCCGGCCTTGACGTAGATGACGAAGCGAGCGGTGGACTTCGGGGGCACGGAGTTGAGGGCCTCCGTGATGGTCTTGAAGTTGCCGCTCCCGTCCGCGGCCACCACCGCGTTGGGCTTCTGCAGCCCGCCGGGAGCCTGGAGGAGCCTCCGGGTGTGGGACGACACCCATTCCGGGAACGCACCGGCGGACAGCAGCTTGCGGCGCTGCTGGTTGGGCAGGTCGTCGATCGTGCCGACAACCTCCGTCGCCAGCACCCTCTGATCCTCCTCCTCGGGGAACCTGCCGACGCCGATCGCCTCGAGCTCGCAGTTGGCCTCCTTGGCGACTTCGTTGATCATGACGAGCTTGTTGGACAGGAGCTGACGCTTGCCGGCGAGGTGCTCGGGGAGCTCCGTCGTGAGGAGGCGGCGGTTCATATGCGCCGACATGTCGGCGATGCTCTGCATCTGGGTGGACAGGAGCCTTCGCCTGTTACCTTCGCCATACTGTTTAACCTCGTTATCCGACGAAGCGTCGCTGAGGAGCCTTCGCTTGTTGCCTTCGCCGTATTCCTTAACCTCGTTACCCGACGAGGCATCGCTGAGGAGCCTTCGCTTATTGCCTTCGCCGTATTGTTTAACCTCGTTATCCGGCGAGGCGTCGCTGAGAAGTCTTCGCTTGCTGCCTTCACCGTATTGTTTAACCTCGTTATTCGACGAGGCCTCGGTGAGGAGCTTTCGCCTGGTGCCTTCGCCGTATTGTTTAACTTCGTTATCTG